CAATTATTAGAATCTTGAATTTTGACAGGGTAATTGTTGATTAATTATTGTTTACGCATCAAATTTGATCATTGTTGATGAATTTTTGTGTCGAAATGTGATCCGAATTTACTTGATTGTGGAGGTTTGTTGGGAATTAATGTGAAATTCATGTGTTGATATGATTTTAAGTTCGATTTAATGATTATTTAATTTTTTTTCAACGTTGAAAACTTTGGTCCGAATTAATTGTGTCAACACTTGAATAATGTTGTTTGTGCTTGGAATCAAGACATTGAGGTGAATTAATTGTTTGCAATTAATTTGTAATTTCCTAGAAATGTTACTTGAATCGATAAATGTTTTGATATGTTCGATTTCGAGTTTTAAACTCAATTTTGATTGATATCATTTCATGTACATGTTGCTTCCCGGAAAGTGCAAATGTATTGTACATTGCTCTTTAATTGTTGTTTAATGCATATTTGAGCATAGTTATGCTTTTGCTGAACATTGATGTTGAATTTTATCGGTTTCAACGCGATTCTTTGAGTAATTTTGTGATTGGGTGTAGTGCTGTCTGGAGTTGGTAAGTATGCATAAACACATGATTTAATTGTTGGTTAATGCATAAGTAAGCTTGCTTGGGTATTTGTTTGGCATTTTCATTGAGATTTGACGATTTTAGATCGATTTTTTGCTCGGTTCATGAGATGGTGATGTTGCTACCCAGTTTTTAATGTCCATGTTTCGATGCTCATTTGGATTTGATTTATTTGCAATTCAATATCATTTTTGAGTTGTGACTTTATGCTTGAGTTATGCTTATGCTTCCTTGTAATTGTTAACTTGTTTGTTGAGTTTGTTCAAGCTTCCGAATGAGTATTCGTGTGATGTGCGATTTGCAGATTATGTTGTGCTTGTGTAAAGTTGTTTTATGCAGGGCAATTATCTTTATGCAATGTGTTTTCCACATGCAATTTATTCTCACACGACGATGTCTTATTCTTATATTTGATATTGCTTTGTTACAAACTTATTGTTCGTTTGGTATTGTTTCTGATTTTGTCTATATTCTGCATTGTCTTTTCTCTTTCCTTGCCATGTGAATTAGGAATAGAGATGCATGACTGTGAGTCCCTACTTTAGGTGGACAATTATGTTTAAAGTCCTCAAAGGAGACAATGTTTATGATTGTTTAAAGACCTCAAAGGAGACAATGTTTGTGTTTTTTTAAAGACCTCAAAAAGAGACAATTTTGCTGAAGTCCTCAAAGAAGGAAATTCCCCTCCATTTTTATTTTGTGCTTGCTATCAAGTCAATAAGTGGAGTAAGGGCTCGCAATCGGCCCCCGCACTTTCTAGTATGTGTCATTCTTAGGTCACGTTGTACATTGATGCTTTGAACTGTGCTTATTCTTGTCCATTGAGTCAAATAAATTGGAAAAAGGTTTTGTAACCAACCCCCACACTTTGTCATTCGTTTCAATGATGTTAGCTCACATTTCTTTAAACGTTGACGCTTCGAGTTATTACTCAATATCGGTGTTTGAGAAAATCAAGTGAAAAGAGTTCCTTACTCCTACTTTGAAATCCATTGGATTCATTGTTTGTTGATATCTAGCACTTGATTATTGTTTTGGTTTTGGTCCGACTTTGTTCGATTGCACTTGTGTTTGCGCTTTTCTTTAGATCTTTGCATGTTTCCTTAGGATTGCTTGTTTCATTTTCGATTCAAGTTGGACATTAGGTTATAAACTTTGCATGTTCCCTTAGGATTTCTTGTTTCGTTTTCGATTCAAGTTGGACATTAGGTTGTAATCTTTGCATGTTCCCTTAGGATTGCTTGTTTCGTTTTTGATTCAAGTTGGACACTGGGTTGTAACCTATGCATGCTAACTTAGGTAGAGATTTCCCTTTGTTATCCAAACTTTAGGACCATCATTGCATGACAACACTAGGATTATTAATCTCCCTTAGACTTTTTCATTCCCCTTTTTGTATCCTTAAAAGTTAAACTCTCTTTTTCTTTGTTCAAACTTCAAAATACTCTAACATTATTAAACCCTTTTTCAAGGTAAAAAACACTAACCAATTCAAACTCTTTTTGTCTCCGAACTTTTTCTTTTAAAACCTTTTCGATAAGGGTTTTTTGTTTCAAGTTCGAGAAACCTGGAAATGCTAAGTGTGTGAGTGGTCGAGCATGAGTCTCTTACGAGCTGCAACACCAAGCACGAATTGAAATTCTAACCGCAGGGATGCGAACACAATATTATCCATATAAAACATGCAACCAACCAAAACTTTTGAGGTGAACTACGAGTGTCTTGATCCCCATTGCACGGACGGTGGTACATAGGCACAAAGGTTTGCAATCGAGGCAAACACGACTAATAAAACCTTTTTTTGGTACATAATCCTTTACATCCATGCATTCCCTTTACAACCTAGATTTTGATTTAAACACACCATTTATATTAGACAACAAGAGTGGATCTCTTGGAGTACCACGAATGTGAGGGGTGCTAACACCTTCCGCTCGCGTAATCCACTCCCTTACCTGTTCTCTTGGTCGCAAGACCTTGATTTCGCCCTCTTCAGGTTTTATTCAATGTTTTCCTTTCCCTTCTGCAGGATAAATAAATATTCGATGACGACTACATTGTTTGTTTGAGAGATTTATTATCATCAAAGCCTTGGACCGGTGATTGAAGAAGTTCTTGCACTGCTTTCTCAAGAAATAGATAAATATCTCTTATGAAACTTTTGTCCCCCGACGAACACGCCGACACAAATCAGAAACATGAAAAAACTATACTAGAGAAAAACTTCAAAATCGTTGTTGTATCCTCTATTTCGATTGGCACCTTGTTGCATATACCTCTACACAACCAAAAGAAAAATAAAATCTATATTGTGAGATGTACACGATATTAATTATTTTTTACCAAGAAAAACAAAGAGACAATGCACACGTTATTAACAACAACACATATGAAGTTTTGTAATATAACTAAATGATGATAGAATACCTATGAAGTTCTCTCGCCGGGTGAGCTACCATTGAAGTATTTGTAGAAGTATTTTGCATCCTCACACATGAAAATTAACATTTTATATGTTTAAAACAAATGAATATAAAAGAAGACTCAAACATTGAAAGAACTCTCAATTTTAAAATCAGCCGATATCAAATAACTTAATAGCGACTATGTTATTCATGCACGTGTCTCCTTAAGATAGAAATATTTACCTTCATTTACATTCAAATCGCAAGAAATATTTGTTTTAATAGTAGAAAGTGTCCTCTTTGCTGCCCCTAATGTCATTTCCCGAACTTTACCATCTCCACGAACCTCGCATCAGCTCCATAACAACATTGTTGTGGACTTTCATAGAACATATGAAATGCATTATTATTCAAAAGGAACAAAAGTATAAAAGGGCAACATTCAAATTTTATTTTGATTAAAACAAATAGAGAAAGAAGGAAGAAAAACAAAATAAAATAGAGATGATAGAAGAGGGAGAAAATCAACATGTGTCATAAACCAGTGTGTCTCACTCAGTCCAACCGCAGCAACACCGCAGACTAAATCGCACGCCAGTTCCATTTTTTGAGCACGAAAGCTCTGTAATCTTCAACTGTGCTTCCCTATCATCACCACATAGTCACCATGAATCCATACATATAACCATAACGCCACCGTCGATTTACACTTCAGATCCACCATTTTAGATGCAAACTCACGGTTTCAACATAAATCTTGTTAGGTTAAAAGAGGAAGAGATGAAATGCATAGAGTTTAGGTTGAGAGAAAGAGATGAAATGCAGAGAATTTAGGTTTCAGATCTATTTTAGTTACATAGAAGAGAGAGAGAGAGAGAGAGAGAGAGAGAGAGAGAGAGAGAGAGAGAGAGAGAGAGAGAGAGAGAGAGAGAGAGAGAGAGAGAGAGAGAGAGAGAGAGAGAGACAAAAGCTATTTTGTGGGAAGTGACAGGTCCTTTTTTCCTCGTCTAATTTGCAACAGGCAATATTGGAAAGATGAGATAGTTTCCACCTGGTTCCATTTGAAATATAAAATGCATTGTGAAGTGTATATGTTGAACTAAAAAGTGCAAATTAGAAGAAGTAATAGTTATAAATTGACTAAGTCAAAATTTGGTTTAAAAGAACAGTTTTTAGACTGAATTAACCTCCAAAACAATAGGTGGAGGAATTTTAGCGAAGGACAAAATGGAGTTTTCTCGATACTTTTGTTTTCTTATATTATAGATTTAAGTAAAAAAATCTCAAATTTCAAACAATAATTTTACTTTTCTCTCTCTCCATCATAAATAATTAGAAATAATTTTGATAAAATTATAATCCCGTCAAAAATTGAACTCGACATTTTACGACTGTCGTCCTTTACATAAACTCTTTTACCATTAAAGTTCAAAGTGTTTGATTTACTACATTAAACTTTGAAAAACGACAATTAACAAAAAAAAAAACAAAAAAAAAACAAAAAAACAAAACAAAATTGACACTTAAAAGGGAACCGACCAAACACTCATCACTTCCAAACAGGTGGATTTGCCATCACAAACCTAACTTGACTATACTCTATTCATAAGCCGTCCACACACAAACATAAAAAAAATTAAACGAGCATTAACAAGACCCCACGAAGCAACGACACTTGAACACATTCATCAAAAATCATTTATATCTTTGAAACTCAACCGAATACCAAACCCATTAATCCAAATACAGAAATTACAACCAATTTTCTTTCTTCTCTCATTACTTCTCTTTCACTTCACTCTTTCCGTTAACAAATTCTCTCCTCACTCATTTTCACTCACTTTTGGCGCCAAATGGACCCCACCAATTTAAACTCCCATCCTCCCCAATAAATACAACAACTTCCTTTCTTTCTCATCTTCATCCATCTCCATAACACAAACACTGAGCGAACCGTACGGTACTCACCGTAACAAACAAACTCAAAAACGGTGTCGTACTCTACGTTCTAAATGATACATACTTTCTTCCTTTTCTTCATCCTCCTTCTTTTCTATTTTCATTTTCATCCCGTCGTTTCTCTCTCCTCCGACGGCCTCGCTCTTCTAACGCTCAAGTCCGCCGTCAACGGCGATACCGCATCTGCATTTTCCGACTGGAACGAAAACGACCCTACTCCATGTCACTGGTCCGGCATTAGCTGCGCAAACATCTCCGGTGAGTCCGAAGCTCGTGTCGTCGGTATCGGTCTCGCCGGGAAAGGTCTCCGTGGCTACCTCCCGTCGGAGCTTGGAAACTTAATCTATCTCCGTCGTTTGAGTCTCCACACTAACCTCTTCCATGGCTCTATTCCTGTTCAGCTCTTCAATGCTACCTCTCTTCACAGCATCTTCCTCCATGGCAACAACCTCTCCGGTAACCTCTCTCCCTCCGTCTGCAACCTGCCACGTCTTCAAAATATTGACCTCTCACAAAATTCAATCTCTGGCACAATCCCGGAGTCTCTCGGAAACTGTGCAGAACTCCAGCGTCTTATCCTTGCAAGAAATAATTTCTCCGGTGACATTCCGGTGACTCCATGGATGAAGCTTAAGAATCTAGTTCAGCTTGACCTATCTGAGAATCTTCTAGAAGGTTCCATTCCGGAACAAATTGGCTACCTGAACTCCCTTACCGGAACGCTAAACCTATCATTCAACCATCTATCAGGTGACGTTCCAAAGTCTCTAGGAAAGTTACCGGTGACGGTTAGCTTCGACCTTCGTAGCAATGATCTAAGTGGTGAAATTCCTCAAACGGGGTCGTTTTCGAACCAGGGACCCACCGCGTTTCTGAATAATCCCAAACTATGTGGGTTTCCTCTGCAAAAACAGTGCACCGGTTCAGCGAGTCAACCAGGGAGTAATCCTGGTTCAGCTCGACGAGAGGTGAACCGGTCGAAGAAAGGGTTGAGTCCGGGTTTGATTATTATTATAACAGTAGCTGATGCTGCTGGTGTGGCTTTGATTGGGCTTCTTGTTGTGTATGTGTATTGGAAAAAGAAAGATAACTCTAATGGGTGTAGTTGTACTTTGAAGAGAAAATTTGGTGGGAGTGGAAACAATGAAAAATCGGGTTTCTGTTGTTTTTGTTTGTCTTTAGGGTGTGCTAAGGGGTTTAAGAGTGATGATTCAGATATCGAAGAGAGTGAGAAAGGAGGAAGAGAAGGTGGTGGGGGTGGTAGAGGGGAAGGTGAAGGAGAAGGTGAGTTGGTGGCAATTGATAAAGGTTTTAGCTTTGAACTTGATGAGTTGTTAAGAGCTTCTGCTTATGTGTTAGGGAAAAGTGGATTAGGGATTGTGTATAAGGTAGTGCTTGGGAATGGTGTTCCTGTGGCTGTAAGGAGATTAGGGGAAGGTGGTGAACAAAGGTATAAGGAGTTTGCTGCTGAAGTTCAAGCTATTGGGAAAGTGAAACATCCTAACATTGTCAAGTTGAGAGCTTATTATTGGGCTCATGATGAAAAGCTTTTGATTAGTGATTTCATTTCCAATGGCAATTTGGCTAATGCTCTTAGAGGTTTGTTCAATTCCTTTACATTTTGTTTTTGTATTTATGTAGTATGCATGTATATCCCTTTCTCGTTTTCCTTTTGGGTCATTGATTTTCATTTGTTGCATTCATTCATGAGGAGGCTTAACCTCCATTTTTACTCTCACCACCATTCATAACCTATGAAGCACGGACACAGACACATAAACACCTTTTTTTAGAGGTCTCCATGCTATAGAGTTCATAATAGAGTAAGAGTAGAAGGCTTGTGGGAGAGAGCACTATTTCATTGATAATGAGAGATCAATAGTAGTACTAGTAACAAAATAATGAATGACAGTTAATGATAACATGGTGAAATTGGAATCTTAGGTAATGTAGTACTACCAGTACCAACTTCAATTTAATTGGTCATCCGTTATACATTATCATTGTGAGTTATACCGGTATACATTATCAATATGAATTTATTTCTACACATGCATTCAATCATATCTCATCAATATACTACCAGTTTGTTATATTACTCCTAAAATGATTTCACAATTATCTTTAGTGAGGTGCATTTGGACTTGAGTTTTTTTTTGGTCAAGTAATCGTGGCTCGATTAAGTTTTTTTTGGTCAAGTTGCCGTGGCTTGAATTGACCCTTTTAAAAGTGAATAAGTTGGATGTCGCGGGTTTGAATCCGCACAGCGGCATCTGATATCCCTACACAGTTATCAACTGAGCTAACTTAACGGCACCAAACTTAATTTTATTTTATATAGGTTGGATGGATATTTGGTCAATTTTTGTCCTTTAATTTCAGCCAAAAGTAAAATAAGTTTCTTGTCTTTTCTAGTTTGTAGAAAGAATGGGTAGCAAGACAAATAGTAATAAATTGAATATTTTTTTAATAGAAAATGCTACAAAACATGCTAGATTTTGCTTTCATGAAAGAAAGAAAACGAATTTGGAGTTCTGTCTTTTCCCATTGTCTCTTTGTTTTTATGATTGTCATTTTCTTTATTGTTTTGTGGTACAATGGGACCATGATGGTTAGTTAGCTGGTGCAAATGCACAATATTAAATTCCTATATGTATTGGTAGAGAAATGAAGAATTATACTATATTACTACTAAATTTTAACTTTAAAATTTGAGGGGAGAATATGGGTGTGGCTAGGTGAATACCTTAATTAGATGCTTATATATTATTGGTAATGGCATTGAATCGAGAAATTGTTTGGTAGGACAACATTGTCAGTGTTATTGTAAACTTCAATGAGCTGCCCTTTGGAAGAAAAATAAGGACATCCGCCATGTGTCTCGGAGTTGAGATGGCAGTGATATTCATTTCTGGGACCATGAACTTCTATCTATGTCTTTATCTCATTCTCACCACATGGGGCCACTATACAAACCAATTTTTTAGGCGCAAAAGTTGCAATTAATCACCTCAGTAAGCCATGTTCCTGCATCATGAAGCTGCAAAATCTCAGTTGTTGGATTAATCCAACAGTTAAGATATTAATATGCTCAACTGTTAGATTAATTTAAAGACTGAGAGTTGACTAGAGAGACCGGAGAGGATCCAAAGTGTTGTGTCGTTTGACTTCAATTTTGTTTGCGGTTGTGTGGATATTTTATACTACTAATTTTCAGTTTTACACACCTTTTATTATAGTATCATTTAAAGTAGCTTTGTATAAAGTATCATTTATTTGTAGTCTGAAAAAGAACTTGCAAGTTTGTGCCACTTTTTTGGTTTTATTCCATTCAGCTAAAGTTTAACTTCTTAGCTTTGGTTCTTTTTTATTTCATTAGAGCTTCCTAGTTCTTGGAGTCTTGGTGGAAAGCCTTGTTTTTCTTTGTTACATCATCAATCCTTAACTTTTTTGCTTTTAAAGCACTCTACCGGCTTCACGATTTCTTGATTCAAGCAGGCCCTACTAGAACTGTTTTCTCACTCCTTTGCTTCTACTACACTTATGTTTGGATATTATGAAGAAAATTAAACACATAATGACTTAATTTTGACTTTTAGAATAGTCAATAGTGTAATCTGTTATGTAGGATGTAAGATACACCGACCAACCAACTATTCATGATTATTATGTTTGAAACTATTCATAAAAGAGAATAAAATTGCTATGACATCTCAAGAGATCTTGAATACTTTATAATTAATGTGCTCCTCTCAAGGTCTCAGGTTCGAATCCTGTTAGGTGCAAACAATTTCTGTATTGGGCCAAGTGGGCGGTAGAATTAGTCCCCTTGGATTAGTCGGTCGCAAGGTCGGATACCAAGATTTCAAATAATAACTCATAATCAGCATTTGCACTCTAATAGATTTATAATTTTCACAATAACTTGTTTCACTGCAAATAGTTCACATTTAATTCAAAGTATTTTTGCAGGGAGAAATGGCCAACCATCTCCAAATCTTTCATGGTCAATCAGGCTGCGAATAGTCAAAGGAACAGCCAGAGGTTTAGCTTATCTCCATGAATGCAGTCCAAGAAAATTTGTTCACGGTGACCTCAAACCTTCCAATATCCTCCTCGACACAGACTTCCAACCTCTCATTTCTGATTTCGGTCTTAACAGGCTGATCAGCATCACCGGCAACAATCCCTCCGCCGGCGGTTTTATGGGTGGAGCTCTTCCTTACTTGAAGTCATCACAAACAGAACGAATCAACAACTATAAAGCTCCTGAAGCCAGAATACCAGGCTGCAGACCCACCCAAAAATGGGATGTGTATTCATTTGGTGTTGTATTACTCGAATTGCTCACTGGTAAGTCCCCAGATTCTTCTCCAGGAGCATCAACTTCCGTGGAAGTCCCCGACTTGGTAAGGTGGGTTAAGAAAGGGTTTGAACAAGAAAGCCCTTTATCCGAAATGGTTGATCCATCACTTCTTCAAGAAATTCACGCCAAGAAAGAAGTACTTGCTGTATTCCATGTAGCACTATCATGCACTGAGGGAGACCCTGAGGTCAGGCCTAGAATGAAAACTGTTTCCGACAATCTTGAAAGAATTTGAACATATTATTCTGATGTTTACCTGCTGAAATTCGTGAGCATGAGACTGGAAAGGAACATGCACTTCAGTCTCATGATGCGTTTTTCGGTAGCATTCAGAAGGTTTTCTTGTGGGGGGATCAAGATGGGACTGCAATTTGCAAATACTTTCTATCGTACCTGGAAGTTTTCCCTTTAGCTTCTGTTTTGAAGTCAGCCATTTTTTGAAAGAGGTCATCAGCACAGGTCCTGCCTTATCTTTCAAAGACCAAGAAATTTAATAAGTTATGTTTAAATTTTGTTGTGGTCTCATTCTCTCCAGAATCTGATTACAATAATTTCACATTAGCTAGCATTGTTACTTAATTGGAAAATTCATATGTATTATATATTGTTTATAAGAAAAAATCTCTTTAGTTTCCAACTCTCCATTTAGAATGACAACTAGGTTTTACATATTCTTCTCTGTTTTAATGGGTAGTGTTCTAAAAGCCATTCTATGTTTTCTGAAAAGTTTTAATAGTTTCTTTCCATAATTTCCATTGAGATCATATCCTTAATACAATCTGGAATAAAATCATAAATAACAAGGCATAGATTTTGCTCTTTTGCAAGAGTGTGAACGAGGCCTTGATATAACTAGAAAAAGAAATCAGGAAAGCTTTGTTCGTTTGTGGATGCTCTTAAAAAGCAAAGATAAGCTTATCTTTCACAACTGAGATAGACGAAGTTGTTTGGACAATTTATATAGTTCAATTTTCACATGTGGCTCAAATTGAATTTTGATCAATTAATTGTTCAAGTAAATTTTTTTTTTTTTTTATAATTATAATTGTAAGATAGAATATTCAATGGAGTAGATCTATCATAAATTTAATGAAATAGATATATCAGAAATCAAAATTTATACAACAAATCAATATAAAAATGATATATTCTAATATAATGATATGTAAGTTTTAAGAGTGTGGGTAAGAGGGGGGAGAAGTAGGTGTAAGGAAATTTTTCTGGTTTTTAGAAATATGTTTTTTTTTGTTATGATTCGTGATGAAAGCGGTAAATGCGGTGTACATCCTGTTGCAATTGGTTTTTAAATCAAAGTCACCACTACTAGTTTTTATCCTAATGAAGGAAATCTAATAGAAAACCCTAATTTCGCAAACAGAGATTCTAGGTTTCGGACTCGGTTTTAGACGAAGGGAAGGTGTTAGACACCCTTCATCTACCTTGTTCACAAGGATACTAAGATTTAGAAGTGCTTTTTAGGAAAACGGGTTTTAATATTTTTTAAGGGAAAAAGGTTTTAATTTTAGTTAGCAAGACTCGCCACGATCTTAATCATATGCCTATGTATCCTCCTAGGAGGAATCAGCGTCTCATTTCGTAATTCGCAGTGTTGTTTGTATTTTTTATGAATTGTGAAATATATTTTGAATTTCCTGCAGACGTAGTCTAAGAGTGTGAGTAAGCGGAATTTGTTAGACCAAGTATGCAGTTAATTTAGATATATTCGTATTCCTTTTCGAAAATTAATGTTGAATTAATTTATTACGAAAAATAATTTGGTGTTCGTTTGAGTATTTTTTTATACGTAAAGCAAAGGAGTCTGATATAGTCTCCTCATCACGTGGCTAGATATTGGCCACGTGTCGTTTGCGGATGTAGTAATTCGGTGAATCGCGGATTTTAATATTAAAATATTAAATTCGATTATATGGTGAGAAATGTTTTTAATTATATAATTTAAAGATGTGATTTAATGTAAATAAATATTATATTTTAAATGAGTTTTAAAATACTAAATCAATCATAATAATAAATAATACACAATATTATAATTATTAAAATATAAATATAAATATAAATATATATAAATACAGAAAAATAAATAAATAAATAAATATATAAATGAATTTATAAAAGAAAATAATAAATAAAAATAAATTAGTTCGGGGGTGCAAATTATATTATAGTAGTAATATTGTGGGGGTGCTATTAGGAAGGGCCTGAATTCAGATTTTGAATTTAGGCCCAAAAGGCCAGGGGATGTGAATTCGCATGTGTTAGCAAAACAAAATTAAAGGGAGGTGTGGACAGGGACTGGGCCTGTCCCAAAGAGGTTTGGGAGTCCGCTTGGACTCCCTGCGGGTGGGCGCACGATAAGACCATAGGCATGCGTTTTTGAATGTGTGATAGTGATTTTACAGTGACGATTTGGAGGGAGCATGGTAATACAATGGATTTACGCGCACAGAATCATACAACATAATATACTTTTCATTTTACAAAACGAAAACTCATTTCCTTCGTTACCTTCTTTCTCTCTTGTTCTCTTCCTTATCACACAGAAACCCTAGTCTCCTTCTTCCCTAAACACCAAACCCAACCCGCGGCGACGTAACCCGAATCAACCCTTCCTCACCTTAAAATAAATCCTTCCCACACCCCAAATCAACGTGACAAGCAGCAAATTCAAATTGCAAAAGCTAAGCATCTGTAGTATTTTACCTCTAGTATGTGTTTTCTTGCGTCTCTGAGTTTCGATCTCCTTTGGCTAATCCACTACTCTTTCTGTTTGCATATGTAGCGATGACAATGGTGTAGCGGCGACAATTGAAGGGAGAAGGTAGTGACGGCAACGGCTTGGAGAGCTAGGGTTTCAAATTTTGAAACCCTAAGCTGGAGCGGTGGTGAACGCAACAGATCGAGCTCTACTGTAATGAATTTGTATTTTTTCTTACTATTTTTTTCTTTTCTTCCCCCTGCTCTGTAATTTTCTTTCTCGTTTTATAGTGATTTAGGTTTTTAACAAAATAGGAAGAACAATAATGTGTCTGTAGACTTAATTTTCAGAATTGATTAGGGTTTTAGAAATATAATTTTTTTGAATTTCTGTCTGTAATTTAAGAACGTTGTTGATACAATTTGTATATGATTCTGTTTTGTAATTGATTTTGGTATTAAACTGTACTTGTCCTGGTTATTGAATGAAGATTTGTTTCTGTATTTGCTTATGGACTTAATTGATTAATCTTCTGATTTGAACAATATTGGTTTCTTCATAAATTGTGTGTTATAACAAAACATACGCTTCCTTCTTCCATAATCTAAATAGTAATTGTTCTTAGATTTTGGGCCATATTTCTTACTGCCTTGGGCCGTCTGCATGTTTATTCTTTTTTATTAGCAAACAAAATTTTAACAAGCCCAGAATGCGCAGTTTTATTAAAAAGTTAAAAACACTTCTTCTTTTTTCATTGAACTTAAACTGAATTGGGCCAGGTATTTTGGTTATTGGGCCTGTTAGTTTTAAATAACTTTAAAAAATCAGTAAATAAAAAACAGTTTTCCCAAAAAATAGAAATGGGCCAGGCTCTTTCATTCTTCTGATTCTCCAAAAAAGTATTGCCATCCTTGTGGGACGTAACAAGAAAATAATTTTTTTTTACTAACACAATTTTAATCAATAAAACAAAAATTAATTTTCAATTTATGTCCTTAGTATACTATTTTAATTAAAAATGGTGTAATTAACAATAGCAGTGTTAAAAAAAAGAAGCATTAATCCATAATTAAATATAATGATAACGTTGTAATAAACAAACCAAAATCCGACTGGGCTAGACCGTTTCAAAACCACCGGGCTTAAAAAAGAAATATTGCCTCACACATCTTAAATGGGCTTTATTTAAAAGAGCTTGTCCGCACCTTCTCTAAAAGATTACACTTCCCTTCATTAGAAATAGACTCTCATTTTAAATCCTAATGGGCTATCAGATATTGATGGTCCATTTTAAATCGACACACTCCTATTTTTATGCTTTAACCTTCCCATAAAAATTAAAGGCTTAAATGCAGTTTTGACCCCCCTAGTTTAAGGTTTTTGGAGTTTCGATCCCCCTAGTTTAAAAGCCAGGTTTCTAGTCCCCAAAGTTTTCAAATTTGGGATTTTTGAAGCCCCCTCCATCTGGCTGCCCAAAAAGTGACATGGCACAGGGAGAGTAATGCCACGTATTATTTATTTTTTTATTTTTTTTATTTTTTTTATTTTTTTTATTATTTTTTTTTTTAAAAAAAAAAATTTTTTTTTTCTTCTCCTCATGGGCAAAATTAAGGTTCGAAAGGAAAAAAAAAAATTTAAAAAAAAAAAAAAAAAAAAAATACGTGGCATTACTCTCCCTGTGCCATGTCACTTTTTGGGCAGCCAGATGGAGGGGGCTTCAAAAATCCCAAATTTGAAAACTTTGGGGACTAGAAACCTGGCTTTTAAACTAGGGGGATCGAAACTCCAAAAACCTTAAACTAGGGGGGTCAAAACTGCATTTAAGCCAAAATTAAATAATACAATTTATTTAAAGGAAACCTAAGCATAAATAAGGGTAGAGCAAATTTGGGATATGACAACTGCCCCTATTTAATCGTCTTTCGATTAAATAGTGCAAGAATACACAGGTCTCGCACATTTAATCGGAAGTTTATTAAATATTGGAAAACTCCAAGATTTGTCTGAGATATAATAAGGGTACATTGTACAATGTTCCCATGAGTATTAAGAATAGGCATAGATGATGATGTATCATCCTGCCGGTGTTTGAACCAAAGTTTTGATAGAATTTAGACGCGATGACACGGATAACTCGTCAGTATCTAAGAGATTGCATAATTTCGCATATTTACCAGGACTCGATAGCCAGATGGAATATGTTAAGTTTGGGGCAATGGAACCCGAAATTATCTGATGGCGTAGGTTGTGTAGTCCTCAACCACAACCATCAACATGCAGAACACCAAATTCATGATGAAGTTGGTTGTGTCATTCTCAACCACAACTATCAACATGAGGCGAACATATCCCAAATTTACGATGTAGTCGGTTGTGTCATCCTCAACCACAACTATCAACATGAAGAACACCAAATTCATGATGAAGTTGGTTGTGTCGTCTTCAACCACAACTATCAACATGAAGGAAATATACCCCAAATTCACGATGTAGTCGGTTGTGTTGTCCTCAACCACAAC